ACGAATGACTGGAAGGAAGAAATAAAAGAAAAACAAGTATTTCCATATAGAATTGGGAAAATTTGAGACCCGACAGCAGGAAGCAGGGAGGGAATGAGCTGCTACCGAGAATGACTCTGTTAGGAATGAGAATGAAGAATGCCATGTCGTCAATTCCAAAAACTCAAATGAAGAGATTGCTAACTGAAATTTGGAAAGAAAAAAAAAATAGTTACGATTGAACAATGTCAATATGGGCCGAAAACTGGGTAATAAACTGGGCTTCCCTCTTAAAGGCCATATCTATTATATTAATGAGTGTGAACCCCTCTGTAGTTCCAGGTTGAGGCCAGAGAACTATGTGTCTTTTCATTCCGTGGCTCTGCTGAATTTGTTGCTGGTGTTGTGAAAATTTCTAAGCCAAATGGCTGCAGAGAAAATGTTCCTTATACATCTACTATTGTGATGGAGTGGATCCCCTTGGACATTGATCAAAAGTGATGCCAAGCTGACACTTGCTCTTAGTCGTGGTCTCAAAGAGACGTTGCCGCGGAGACCCATCCTGCTCCTAGTTTATACTCCTTTTTACTGAACATCTCTGTAGTTCAGACACAAGCCAATCCAGGACCTGCTAACGGTATTAATGTATCCCTTGTATTAATCTGCTCAGAGTGCCATAACAAAATAACACAGACTGGGTGGTTAAACAGAAAGGGATCATCTGACAGTCTGGGGGCCAGAAGTTCAAGACCACAGTGCCAGTAGGGTTGGTGTCTGGTGAGAGTTCTGTCCTTGGGTTGCAGATGACTGCGTTCTTGCTGTGCGCTCATATGGCCTTTCCTCTGCATGCATGTGAGGAAGGAAAGAAGGAGCTCTCTCCTGTCCCTTCTTATAAGAACATTAATCCCAACCTTATGACTTCATTTAACCATAACTGTTCGATTAGAGGCCCCATCTCCAGATAGAACTGCACTGAGGGTTAGAGCCTGAACATATGAATTTGGGAGAAGGACACAATAACCCCATTTTTTAAAAAATTAAATATGAAGGAGTAACTTTGAGAAGTATTCTAAAATCACAGCTGAACTAGGTCTGCATTACCGGGGATACGCAGCAGCACCAGCGTTCAGGACTGATTTTTGTAACATTGAGGCAATGCATGATTATCAATACTAGCAAAACATTCTTGGGCTCCTACCATGATTTAAGAAAGGAATCCCATTTAAACGTAGACAAATTTCCCCCAAGAATGATGAATACACGTTGTAAATTGGAAAAACTGAACATAGAGGTACTTATTCCCTTCACCCCATAAAGCCAGCGTCCTTTTCCACAAATGGCCCTGCTCTTAAGTAGAGAGTAGCAGAAGCCAGCTGGTCATGTTATGGGTAGGGATAGCACCGATCCTGTATTTTAATGTTCAGTACTAAGAAACAGTGGGTTAGGCTAACTCTTGCAGTTCACACAGGCTCAGAGCTCAGTAACTGTTGTTCTTTCCAGAAAGCATTCTTATCCTAGTGAATCCAGTGGCACAGAATGTCTTTTTTTTCTGTAAGCAGTGAAGCATCTCTAACAAATTACCTTCTATGGATGGAAAACAGACTGGAATCGGCTAGCGAACAGGCTTTGAGGACTTGCGTGGTGGACACATGCTGCAGACTACGTGTTTCTCAGGGGTCAGTCCTGGTATCTTTGAAGAAGGACTCTAGGATTGTCGTAAGGGCAGTTCCAACTTCACTACTTTCTTTTCTTCCCCCTTTCTCCCACCCTGACATAGCAGCTGAAACAAAATATGGGAGTACATTCATTCCACAAGCCTTCAACTTTTGTCATCCCATTAAAAAGACATCACTCAAACACTGTCCACACTTGGAATAAAAGCTAATATGGTCTCCCTAAAACTCCAAAGTATTCTGTAGACTCTGTGCTTCTCTCATACCCTGGACTGTGGTACTTTGGTTTCCTATATACATTTTTGTTTTTTCAACTCAACAATGAGCTCCTTAAAGTAGGTATTTTCTGTGTTCTCTTCACTGCCAATGAGCAGAATAGTGCCCGCTGTGTCGTTGAATGAGTGATTTGGTGAATGAATGAAAAGGGAAGCAAACATAACCAGCCAGCACAGTTTTTATCCTCACTGACTGGAATAATCACTGTCATCCAGAAAAACAAATGATACCCTTGACAATTTTGGCAAAGAGCCTTATGAAATAGGATTATGAAAAGGACCATTACTAATTAGTGTTAAATCACAATTAGAGTTGAGCCCTGTATGCCGGCAGATTCCGCACAAGGCAGCGGTCTCTCCAGCACGTTCCGAGTACAGCAATCTTGACATCATCGTGTGCATTAAGATCACCTGATGCCAGGGGCTGTGATCCTCAGAACAGTACCTTCCTCTCATTCAAAAGGACTTTGAAGAACAAACTTTTTTTCTCAGTTTCTTTAGAAGAATCTGCCTACACCCTTGGATGTGAGCAGGGGGCAGTTACAATTTTCATTCTCTTAGCTGATCATCAGGATTGCAAATTTGCTGTGAACGCCCGGGCACCACTAGCTCTGGTTCCATGCAGCGGCTTGTAGAAGTTTCCCCTCCAAACCAAGGGAGCTCGCTGCCTTGCAGTTTACACAATACAGACTCTGTCTCGTTTGAGCTTCCAATCGACACTGTAGGGAAGGGAGCTAAGAGAGGTGAGGTGACTTGCTCATGGCCACACGGCTGATCTGAGGTTCCAGCCTCCATGTCTCCTCTCCAAACTGGCTCTCATTCCACTGATGGGGGTTAAATAGGCCGACTTTCAGCAATTCCAGAAGTTTATCATGTGCATTTAGAGGAAGCAGAGACCTAATTATGCAGTCTTTTGATTCCTTAAGCTGCTTCTATTTAGGGCTCTCTTGATCCGCTTCCAGATCTGCTTCCAGAATAAAACCTTTTCCACATTTAGTTACCAGGACGTAGGTTCACAGATCCCTCACTCTTCAGTGATGCCTCCAAAGCGCTATTTAAGGACAGAGTTTCCCAAGTTTCACAGTGGGGGCAGGATTCAGTCATTTACCAACATACTTAACAGTCGATTATACTGTCTGTTTGATAGCTCCTCTTTTCAAAACTAGAGTTTATTTTTATTGCAAGAAAATATGTATTCTAGTAGTAAACGAGGGAAATAGATAAGCCTTTAGTATAGTCAGAAGAGTATTTAACTAACATAAGAAGGTAGACATTTTATAAATCATTTTTCTTGGGAATCTTCAAAGTAGTCAACCGTCCACTTGAAACATTTGTTTTAGGGCTGAATCCTGCCTGACAATAGTGCCTTTTTAGGGTCATCATAGCTGGATCCCAGACTGTTCATTTCCATGTGTCTACCACTTCTTAATTCTCAACCATTAATGTTTGATGAGGGGCCTCTGGAGGTACAGTGCTATGTCATTTAAAGGAAAACCCTCCTTTTGAATGAACCAAGCAAGGATTTCTATTAATATCACGACTGAAATGTATGTAATAGTTGCTTCCCTAATTCCTTTTGGTATTGATCTGAATTTCGAATACATGCAGTTTTCCCTATACTAATTTCTTATGTATCTTTTTCCTTCTCTGTTATGGAAAAAGAAGTCGATGGATCACCTCTGTGGATGTATATGTAGTATATATATAATATATAATAATAGGTGTGTATTTTACATATATATACATATTACCTATATATATTTTACATATATATATGTATATATATATAAAATGTTAAGTTTGGATCTGTTCATGGATCTGTATTTCAGTATATTTTCAGGCAGAGCTCTTTTGGGGGGGTTCCTCCTTTCCCAGTCCCCAAGATAACATCTAAATTTGATTACATAATTTGTCCTTATAGGGATTTCTTCCCTTCACTTTTTGAGCTTAATCCACTGACTCAGCTTTTTCTGTCCTCTGAGGAACCTGAAAAAATATTGAGCTCAATAGACATGTATTCAAAAGGTTTCCATGCTGATTCTGAGAAGTAGCTTTTATAACACTTTACAACAGATGTCGAAAGGTTATTCAGAGGAGGGGTTTCAAGATGTTTACAGTGAATTCAGTGAATTCAGACTATTGCCAAAAAAGTAAAATAAACATTGCATTAAAATATATCAATATATGTAGACTAGAAAGCATTTTAGAGCATTATATACATTTTGCAAATAAAAAAATAGAGATCTGCTCTGTGGTTAGACTGAATTCTTAATAGTTAAGTATTACGACCAAAATAGCATCTGTCTTCCTGGAATGTCCATTTTTTTCCCCCATCTGAGAGGTGCATTTCATAGATTTTGACATTCCAATCAAGTGATCTTCCCCAAAGGAATCAAATCAAGTCATCCTACCAAATAATCAGAGACACTCAGATGACCCAGTGAGGCTACAGTAATTTCTCCCATAGACAATCATTTATTTTCTACCTCTTCTTTCTGAATCAGGTTATACTTGATTTACCCAACACTTTCAGAAGTTGGCATTTGGTTTCACTGGGGTTTGCCCTGTGTCCACAGTTTGATCCTTTTGAGAGTGATGTCATCTGTTGTAAAAGTTCAGCAGAGGCGCCGCGCCGTCCCTTAGGAAACTCGCAATCTGGAAGGCAAACTGCAGAGGAAAGACGGTAACTGCTCATTTTGCACGTCGGAAGCAGCTGGGTTCCCCAACATCAGCACACAGAAGTAATGCTGGGCACTGGACCCTGTCCAGGAATTTGCTTTCCTCTTTTACAGGTGCTTTAGCAACAGCTTTAAATGTGGTTGTGAATGGCAGCATAATCCCAGCAGGTTAGATGGGTAATATGTAACACAGATCCTTTGCAAATTAGTTTCCCATGACAGGAAGATACATAACCCTCTCTTGAGTGAGAAAAGCGTGTTTCCTAGTGTTTGGAAATTCAGAAGGTGGGATGTCGAATGACCCACTTAGCCATTGGAGAGTGCACTATTACATGGGGAAGGGCCTGCAAGCACAAGAGATCAGATCCAACCTTCCGGATTTATGACTCCATAAAATGAGGCCAACTGCCAGCTTGTTAATAGCAACATTGCCACAGATGACAGTCACCGAGTGGCTCGTTACTGTAATCATACACCAGGAAGACTTTCTCCATAAGCTGTTGGGAGTGGCAATGGTCGTGTGGAGTAAAGAAAGTGCCTGGCGGGGCCTTTATACTGATGCAGCTGACTTCTCCCAAGGGTTTGTAGAGAAGGTCGCAATATGGCTGTTTGCCCTGGTGAGAAAACTATGAGAGATTTGGATTTGGTTGCTTTGCCAAGCTCAAAAAATCTCTGTTTTGGGGTTCCTGGGCCATTCTACTTGGCACATTCCTTTTAGAAGGGTGTTTTTAATTGTGAACCAGCAATTCTGTGGAGGTTGACAATATAAACGAAGCTCAAGTGATGCTGAGAGAGGGAGAGAGAACTTTAAAAATTCAAAGAACCCCCAAGACAAGTCTGTCAGCAGAAAAGATATGCAACAGATGTAATTATATGAAAATGTATCTGGTGCTTGAGGGTAAGCTGGCTTTACTATGCCAAACAGCATATAAGACACTTGAATTTCCAGTTTTTGAGTAAATTTTATAAAACAAATGTATCAATCTCTTTCTGGAAGCACAGGCACCTCAGTATTTTCCATGGTCATATATTCATATCCCAGAAATAAATTTGCCATTGATGCCATAGAAGTTCAAGTTATCCAGGTATTTTTTCATTTTGTCCAAATCCCTTTCAGAAAAATATGACCAATTTAGAAAACTGCTATTTTAGATTTCAGTGAGTGGCAGGATTCAATAGTCAGGTGCATTCCAGTCTGTCAAAGATGCAGCTGATTAATTTTGATTAAAGATCAGAGATGCATTTTAATACCTCACCAAAATAAAATCAAACTAATGTGAGTGACCAGGGCTATGATAAAGACAAACTATAGCCATTCATACAGCAACAAAAGTGGTTATTTTAAATGGAGAGCAAGGCCAAAGGTTTTCCTATATTGAGATATAAAAAGACCTCTGTTCTCTAAACTAAAAATTTGAGATCACATCTTTAAAATATGGGACAGTGAAATCATCAAAATTTAGACAAATGGAAGACAAGTTGGGAAAAAAATACATTATGAAACTTGAATTGCTATTTTATAAAAGAAACTAATCACCTTATCCTGTGATTTTGGCTCCTTCCTCAAGGACCAGCTCTGTCCCCACTTTCTCCATTTTCCTCCTGTCCTCCAGCTCCACGTGACCTCTCCTTTCTCGGTACTCCTGTACCACGCACCACTGTAGCATTTTCTTCAATATTTACTGTATGTTGCTTTGCAGGGTTATGTGTATTCAGTAGGTGGCCTGTCTTCATGCATTGGCTATTAAGCTATTAAAGATAGAGAAATGTCTATTATCCCATACCTCCAGCTGTTCTTTGTGCTCTAGCACTCCAATGATATTTCTTGATTGAATGAGTAATAATATTGCAGAGTTTATGGATTTAAAGCAATGTGTGCTGCTTCCCTTTCTGGTCGTAGAGCCCGATACCCATGGAAGAGTAAGCAGTGAGGGGAAAGTAGCAGGAAAAGGCGTATCTGATTTATTTTTTTAAAAATTCTGATAATTATTAGGATAGTTTTGAATGTAGACCTAATAAGAATTCGCAAAGATTACACTTTTGAGAAATTAAAAAATTCTTTGTGAAATTAAACATGAAAAATTTAGACTTGCCATTGGATTACTGTGAGCAAATACATCTTAACTGGTTAAAACTTGTCCAAAAATAGTAAAGGGAAATGGCAATATTTGGGATTCTCCAGGAGGCACTTGAATTATTTCTTCACTAGAATTAGACATTCAATTTAGAATAAATCTTTAGTTGTTTTGGTGAAGGAAAAGGGAGAAAGCATGTCCTAAACACCTGGCTCCATCACTCTTAAACAACTGTAGGCAGAAGTGGGCCATAGCTTCTACCTAATTCAAAAAATAAAAGTGATCCTATTTACACTCATAGCCAAGGGGCATCTATACTCTTTCCCAGGGGATGTTCTAACATCTCTCTTTGTAAAGACTAGAAAGCCAGCTTCGGGTTCAAGTGTATGATCTCGTGCACATGAGTTTATCATGATGCCTCTGTTCATACATCTATAAAATGAAATTAACAGTAGCCAATAAATATCCATGGAGTGCTTCTGAAGTGCCAGGCACTTTTCTAAATGCAGAATATCTAGGAGTGAATAAAGCAGATATTTCCCTATCTTCGTGGGGTTTAGGATCTAGACCTACCTCACAGACTTGTTGTATTAAGTGCATACAGACTATCCCACATGAGGTTTTAATGAATGTTAGCAGTGATGGTGCCAGTGATGATGGAGATGAAGATAGTGATAAGGACGCATTTCAGAAATGGCAGTGCCAGACTGGTGCCCATGATTCTCTCCCAAAATTCTAATGGGAAGAGAAGGTCAGGTTGTAGTCTCAGTATCAGCTGTCAGTCACCGGTGATAAGAGAAAAGTTAACAAAGCACCTCAGTCTAATCTCTGTAGAAGATAGAATCCCCCTCTTGTAAACAAAATGTAATCAGTAATGTCAAGGACTTCCATACACAGCAGTAAAATATGCTGAAAATTGCAGAAATAAACATTTCTATGCTTGCCCCAAATAATGTTGAGTTTTCCCAGAGGAAATGCCTACTTTCTTCTGTTAACACAAAGCAATATCTATCTCTACCTCTTTCTAAATTCCACACATTTAGCATAACTTCTATTATGGGTAAACTCCCAAATGTGGTCTCTAACATTGGATGAAATGATTTGGTTGATGATACATATTAAGGGAACAGACAGGAGTTGCGGATGTCAAGGCCAGTTCTTGGCACTTTTTGCTCAGGGATTGTATTTCTGTAACCTAGGTTAATGAGCAACATCCATGCTCTGTTTTGTTGTGTGTGCTAAGATTAGCATTAGCCAATGTACTTTGATCTAAAAACTTGCACTTTAACTATAGGTTCTAAACTTATGCTGAATTATATCTATCAGAGTTTGACTGTCTGAGCATTCTGCTCACCATTGAACTACTCCCAACCAAGCCCCTGTGGCTATAGTAACAGTGAACTATGTAAATGTGTTTCCCTTAAGGGTGACACTCAGGGAAAGCACTGGGACAAATGGAAAAAAGCTTTTCTATCTGTGTCTAGTATTAACCCAGTAGCTAACCAAGTAAACCAAGAGCTAAGTTCATTCTTTTATTTAGAACCCGAAACTAAATTTGCATTGTACTTTTAGAAGTGAAAGGCAACTATGTTTTCTTTCATAAAATTTTTAATTTCACCTGCCTTTAACATTAGGACATCTCTGAAGGACTTATTTAAAAAATATATACATACTATTTGCATCCATTCATCTGCTTGTGAAAGAACATAATAAAGAAAGGCCACTGGTATGTAGAGAAAGAGAAATATTGCTTGAACAAGCTCATATCACTAGTCAGATCTGTTAAAGAAAAGGTGAGCTCATATCTTTCCTTTTTGTAATATTCCCTGCAAGAAAAAGTTGCTCATTTTATTCATGTTTGACATTTCATAAAAAAGGTAAAATTCATTTTTAATGAAAAATATTCCACAGGGTTATTAATTAAAAGAAATGCAGGAAGAAAAATCCATCATTTAAAAAAAGAGCAACTCATGAATAAGAGAAAGTTTCAGGAAAAACTACAGCTCAGTGAAATCCTCTCAGGATTGCTGGCTGGCTGGGCAACAAGTTTTGCATCAAAGCTTTGGTTAACTTAGAATAGTAGCTCCTTGAGCTTATTGCTTGAATCTTTGATTATACATCTTATTTTTGGTCCATTGTTCTCACCAGATTATAAACTACTTGAGGCCAAAGATTATGAATAATGTAATCATAGCACCTAGAGTATAGTATTTTCTACTGTAATGTTCAAAAAATGTTTGGCAGGTGATTGAATCAATATTTGAGTGTCTCCTATTTACAAGAGGACTGAATATAGTTATTATTACGTGAATTTATGTTCCCCTAACATAAATAATATCTCTAGGAAAAGGTTAAAAGGGCTAGAATTGTTCAATTTGTTGAAGAGAAGTTAATGCTATAAAAAAAAATCTGCAAAAGATAACAGTCACGAGAAAATTGTAACATATATTTTCCCTCTGGTGAGTCATACTTTCCTCTCACCTCCTGGAACTTCTACTCTTTCCTCCATCCCCACTCCCTATAAACCTTATTCTCCACACAGCTTTTTAGAGCTTAGAAATAGCCACTCTTCTGCCAAGTCTGACATCTATCTTTTGGGGCATTGTGGAGGTACGAGGGATCCAAGATAGAGTATTCCTACGTTCAGCTCATATTTGGAACCAACTGAGAGATCAAAATACGACTTATTCCTAAGAAAGCTGATGTGGCTTTAGGGCTTTATCAAGTGGACTTTCTACATGTTAGCCCTGAGTTAGGCGTATTTACCATCTAGGTACTGGTCTGGCTGGGAAACCAAAGCTCTTCCCTAATATGGCAGAACCTGCTCTGACACACCCGTGCCTCAGTAGATGGGCCAAATGCTCCATCTCTGTAGAAAGGACTCCTCAGAAAGGGGAGAGGCAATGGATAGGCTCAGTTTCTTTTTCCAACCTCACTAACCAGAGAGATGGCTCCTTTTCTGGGGAAGAGGAAGTGAAAGATGGAGGAAAATGTTAGGAATATTAGCCTAGTAGAAGTCACTTCATTTGTATTCTCCCCTCATGAGTACAAGTGGAATCATAGTGCTTACGAATCATTTATAACATACAGGCATGACATCCATATGCATAAAATATATAACATTTATAACACATACAACACTTATATACATTTATAACACGTATAAAACTGATAACAAATACATATGAATATATAAAAATACATATGTATGTATATAACATATATTTCATAATATAGTGCACGTATTACATATTACGTATGTATATTTACACTTTAAAAGACTATTCAATCTCTACCAGTGGAATTCCAGACAAAGAGATTATGACCTGAAGGATTGCAGGTAACATGGAGGAGTTGCCTTGTGGCCACGAACATTTTGGGGGATGATTTAGATCAGACCATAGGAAAAAGTGAGGATTGTGGACTAAGGACAGCAGAATCACTTGGATGCTTTTGTCAAGTTGCAGATTCTTGGGTCCCACTTCAGATACTGAACCACAGTTAGCAATTATGGGGGGCAAGGATTCACAGGTGATTCACAT